AACATGGGCTAACATTAGAAATTCAAGATCCATTAACATAAATAGAATAACAATTATGAGTTGATAGTAATAAATTTAAGTGTAGTGTGAGGATGCGAAAATGTAGCAAATTTAGGCATTATACGTGTTTTCATTTGATAGACCATCTTAAAAGTAGAAGTCTCGTTTACGATGACATATCACGTAGACACCAATGGTGCTACTTATTCAGGTTATATAGCTGTTTGCACCTAACAATCATATTTCTCTTTCATTTTCTTCTACCCTCTAATTTGGTTCATAGAAGATGGTGTTCATTTGTACATTGCCATTGTGTACACAATTAATTTGGTCAGTGTGAAGGGTTGAAACAGTTTAATACATGGCATGAAATAAATTAGGGAAAATTGCAGCCGAGGTATCAAACATTTCGTTTATTAACAGACTTTGCCCAAACTTTTAGTTTGTGCCAACGGAGATACCAAACTTTTAAAAAATGAGTGGGTTCCGTCTGTTTGAACGCCAAAACCGTCAATTGACCCCTCTAATGATATTTTCAAGAATTTTCTCCAAATAAGTGAAGGGCAATCTGGCATTACACACATTTTCTTCCTATTATATACTTCACTGTTTATTTCCCTCCATTTCTTTAGGGAAAATTGCAATCGAGGTACCAAACATTTCGTTTATTAGTAGACTTTGCCCAAACCTTTAGTTTATGCCATCGGAGATACCAAACCTTTAAAAAATACGCAGTTCAAGTCCAAATTGACGGTTTCTGTCTGTTTGACCGTCAAAACCGTCAGTTGACCTCAAAAATTAAAAATTTAATAATTGTAACCAAATAAGGCAAGGTTAAAATTGTAACTTTATAATTTTAAATTTAAATATAAGAAATAAATAAAAATTATTTAAAAAGAAAAAAAAAACTAATCTCCATCTTCAATCTTCCCAATCCCCTTACCCCAAAAATCAAAACCATCTCCAACTGGTGGCGGGGGGTCGGCACCACCCCGGTGCAGCCGGCAACCGAGGAACAGTGAAAAATCCAACCAAATTGAAGATTATGAAACTGATACCCTAACTTGGCATCTTTATGCAATTTTGTACAGTGCTACAACTAGCCATTTCACTCACACTCTATCTTGTCATTTCACTGCAATTCTGCCATAGTCAACCTCACTGCAAACTTTTTCTTTTTACCCTCTTTGCACCAAAATCCCCAGCTATTTAACCCTCTTTCCCCCTTCTCAATCCCAAATCCGTCGACCAAGCATAAACAATGAAATTTGAATTCTGGGTTTGTTGATTATTTGGATTTTGTGGAATAATCTGTCGAAGTATGGTGGCACCATCAACGGTGGTAGTGATGAGACGAAGGAACAACAGAGGTGGCAGTCGGAAGAAGAAGAAGGCAATTTTGGGTTTGGACTTGGTGGTTCCTAGATGGGATACGGCGAAGTCGCCAGGGCGAATGGACGCAAGCACGGCACAGCGGAAGAGGGCGAGATCGTCAAAAAAATCAGATGGATGGTGGTGGTGCAATGGGTAACGATGTCCGGGAAGGGTGGGTTCTAGTTTTTTTCTTTTAGGGTTTGGGTGGGATGGATGGGTGTGGGATGAGTGAAGAAGATGAAGTGGATTTTGTATTTTAATTGTTTTATTATAGGAAATATAAATTTACCGTTTTAACCTTTTAAAATTAGTCTAATTTTGGTTAAATTGTTGACTTTTGGTCAACTAACAGATGAACTAACAGTTTCCGTTAAGTTGGACTTCAAGTGAGTATTTTTTAAAGGTTTAGTACCGTGGTTGGCACAAACTAAAGGTTTGAGCAAAGTCTGCTAATAAGCGAAAGGTTTGGTACCTCGGATGCAATTTTCCCATTTCTTTAACACTATATTACCTCCTTCCTTCTCTCTCACGGGTAGTCAAAAAAAAATATGTATATCAGCACGCACATGGAGTTGAATCTATGCAGATGTGGTTTCCCGGTGCAGATGAAGACCTCGTTGATAAACCTGAACCTGAACCTTGGAAGAAGATTTCTCACTTGTCCTCGAAGCCAAGATGTGGGTGGATGCTCCTTCTTTATGTGGTGTGACCCTCCAATGTGTGAGAGATCGAAGGAACTGATTCCTGGTTTATTACGAGCTAGGAGGGAAATGGAAGCTAAAATCAACACCCTTCAAGCAACAAGACCAAATGGGTGGAAGATCTGGCTCTTCGGCTTTGTGTGTGGAGTGTTTGCAAAATGGGTTTGTTCTTAAGTATGTAGGGTCAAATTGTAGGATTTTAGTATTTAGTTCCAGAAATTTGAGTTTAGGGTTTCGACAAGGAGCCATGTGCTAGATGTTGTGAACTGCATATGTAAAAAGGAAAAATTGTGTTGTACCTTTTTACTTGAAATGAAGTGCCCCGTTTTTCTTGTACTTAATGCTGCCTTAATAGGTGATAACGATCTTTTACTGACCTCTATGTAAAATGCGAAATTAAAAGAGCTGATTACAATCCAAACTTATTTGAAAAAGGTGCAGTATAAGTACCAAATTTTATAACGATTCACAAAATCAATACCAAACATTTTCTAATGGTTTCAGACAGAATACCAAACTTTTAAAAACATTTCAGTAAAAGTACCAAACGTTTGATAATACTTTCAGATGAAGTATCAAACATTTTCATATATTTCCTAATCACCTGCACATCAGATCTTACGAATACAATTTCAGAAACTAACGACAACTAGCAGAAACATAATGCAAGTCATTCGACATCAACATTATCATCACATTCAATAATTTCATCAGAAATTCCAGTTACATCTACAAAATAACAGCATTGGAAGCACATATTTCCAGTTCAGTTTACAAAAAATCACAACATTTTCCCAAAAAAGTAACTATACAAGAGAAACCACATGATGTTCAAGATTTCGATCCTCTATTGTTGGACTTCTTTGTCTGTGACTTGGATGTTTCCGTTGAATGTGTTTTTCTCTCCCCTTAGCTGATCTGGTATGTGTATCCTTTTAGGACTCTGTTTGTGTGGTTGGTTGAGACTGTTGCTGTGAACTATTTTCACCAGGCAGTGCCCCCTTACAGCTTCTTTTGTTATGTCCAGACCCTCCACAGCGTTTATACGTCATCTTCATGCCAGTCATTCCCATCTTAACTCCTGTAGGTGGCTTTGCCTGTGACCTCTTCCTTATTTTCTGGGTCTGCCAGCCTGTTTTCTCTTCTAAGGTTGATTGAGAGGATGCTTTCCCAATTCTGGCCACAGTTCAGGCCCTGACATCGAGTGGATCACTGGGGAGTAACACTTAAGGTATGTTTCCTTGCTATACCATGGGTCGATGTACTCATATATGCCAATATCCCTTGAAAGCATGCCTGATATTGCATGGGGGCATGGTATTCCAGTGAACTGCCATTTTCTGCATGCACATGCATGTTTTGTCAAGTCAACACTCCACCTCAAATCGTCTCTGCTGCTTATCTCAAACTTATGGTTGCCTACATAGAGTGCCTTCAAGTACCTTGCCTCAGAAGTAGCATTCTCAATGATTTTCACAATTCTTGGCCCGAATGCATGATCCCACCTCTGTGCTGCTTCCCTTTTTACATTCATCCTTATCATTTGTTGATGCCAAATTTTCTCTAGCATCGAGATGATGGGCCTATCTCTGGCAACAACAATAGAAGAATTGAATGCCTCACACAAATTATTAAGAAGAATATCACATCTCGAATGCTCTTCAAAATGGGATCTGGTCCACTGGGAAGGAGGTTTTTCAAGGAACCAGTTGTAAGCCTCTTCACTTATGTCTTTTAACTCATTCATTGCACTCTTCCATTCTGGCACTGTTGTTGCCCTTGCTGCAGTCCAAAATAGGTTCTTAAGGACCAGACCTTTGTGTGCCAAGGTGAAATTGCTATAAAGATGTCTAGCACAACACCTATGTTCTGCTCCTTCACAGTATTGACTTATGGAATCCATCAAACCCTTTTGTTTGTTGGAAATGAATGTCCAAACTCAAGGGTTGTGCATCCCTATGTCATGAACTAACAATTCCATGAACCATTGCCAATTTGTTTTGTTCTCTGCATCCACAACTGCCCATGCTAACGGGAACATACAGCCTTAAACCCTTCCTTACAAGCCCCTATGCAGACAGATGTACAATCTCTTAAAAGTATGTCCCGAGCCTTCGATTTACACTGTACTGCCTGGATTTATTCTCTTCAATTCCTCACCGTAATCCCATAAAATTTTTTACTGCTAAGCTACAATCACATTGATAATTTCTGCACATTTCGATCTTGTCCTGTAGAACTGATGCTTTGAAATCTCAAACATGCAGTCCTCTTTCACAGTCTCCATAAAACTACTCATTGGAATGTTGGGATCAGACTAAATTTTCTCACGTATTTCTTTGCCAGAAAACCTGAATTAACCCTTTTATTTTGCCACACCATGGTACATGTGTGCTTATCTACCAATGTATATATTCTAAAACTCTTGTCGAGTTGTTGGTACGCATACAGAACCCAAGGGCAATTATCTTGACATCGAACTCCCAACTATGTCCTCATATTTTTCACGTATCTTAGTTGCCTAGAATTTTTGACTGAGTATTGAACTACTGCATTCCTTAGAATCTTGACGTTGTCGAATTTCATCCCTGGCAAAAATGAACATAGCATACTATCATAAATTTCTTCAATCAAGAGAACAATGTACATGTTAAACAAAACAAATGCTTTACCTAGCTTGAATTGTGGATCATCCATATCGGTTGCAAGGTTAAACCAGCACACATTCTTCCTTCTAGCAAATGATCCCTCAACCTCCGTATCACTGGGTAAGCTTCTAAGCTCATTGGAGTCTTCATAGTCTGCTCCAGATTCTTCCCAGCAGCTGCCTTACCTTCCTGCTCATCCCTTACACCTTCCTGCTCACTCCTTACACTAATGTCAAAACTTTCACTCAACCTGAAATATGTGTTTTCATCATTATCATCAACAACAATATTTTCTTCTTGCTAGTACTCCGTTCCTCTCCCAAAATACCCTCCTCATATTCATCATCTTGCTCAGGATCATCATGTTCCACACCAGTTTCAACAACCGGTATGTCAACATGCGGTTTATCAAGCTCCACATCAGTTTCAGCAACCTGCACCTCTGGTTCGACATCATGCAACTCATGTTCAGCAGCCTACACCTCATGCTGAGCCTGCTGTTGTGGTTCAGAAGCATGCACATCAATTTCAGCAGCCTGCACCTCTGCTTCGGCATCATGTTCAGCAGCCTACGCCTCTTGTTCAGCAACATGCAACTCCTGTTGAGCCTGCTGCTGTGGTTCAGAAGCATGCACATCAGTTTCAGCAGTTTGTACCACTGTTTTAGCGTCATGCAACTCATGTTCAGACCTCAGCTGTGGTTCAAAATTACGTGGTTTCTCTGGTTCAGCAGCATGCACTTCTGGTTCATGTGAGTCTACTTCAGCCCTTATAAAATCAACCTCTGTATACTCATGCTCTGTTCCATGCACTATAACCTCTTCGACGTCATCTCCTGTAAGGAAAACTTCCTCTTCACCTGCTTCCATGTCATCTACTTCATCAACTACATACACGTCATCACGTTCTACTGATTCATCATAAATCTCAACAGCATAGCATGATTGCTGCTCATTTAATGCTTCACTAGACTTTTGAACCTTCACCAACTCCTCACCAGTCTCACAATCAAACACTTGAACATCCTTTTGTTCTGTTTCATCCCAAGGCAACTCCAAAACTTCAACTACAGGCAAGCAATACAGTTTAACTGTCCTATTATCACCAAGCCACTTCACTAAGTTCATGAAATCTAAGTCTTTAACCAACCAAAATGAAGCTTCACTCATTCTTTTCTTCTCCATCTTGTACAGATATCTAATTCTATCAGAATATCCTAACATCTTCACGGCATTGTTCAAAAGAAATCTATTGAAGAAATCAAGGTCGATATAGTCTATATAACTTATTTTCCCATGCTCATACACAAAATTTCTCATCTTCTGAAATAAAATTCCACCGTGACAAAGCCGTATGCTGAAGTACTTTGAATTTTCCTCTGAAAAAACATCGAAAAAAATGAAGTTAAGCCCTAACCCTTTTCAGTTCGAGCAACGAACATGTACAGAAAAGATAATATACAAGCATTACGCTCTAATACACCAAATCACTTAAATTTTTGAATTTCCCAGTACGTGAAGACAATCGAATAGGTAAACATCATAATCATACAACTTTACACCGTAAACCCAAAAAAAGGGGAACACACTTACCATGCACGGGTTGGGAAAGAGAGCCTCGAATGTGGACTACAATGTCCACTGAATGTTCGCCTTCTTCAACGTATGTTTCGTCTTCTTCGTGGGTTTTCGCAGGATCTATAGTGGATGGTGAGTGGAATGAAGTTGCAACTAACGTGTTTGTTGTTGAGGAGGGAAATGTGTATAATGCCCAAATTGTCCTTCACTTATTTGGGAAAATTTCTTGAAAATATCATTAGAAGGGTCAACCGACGGTTTTGGCCGTCAAACAGACGGAAACCATCATTTTGGACTGGCCCCACTCATTTTTTAAAGGTTTGGTATCTCCGATGGCACAAACTAAAGATTTGGACAAAATCACCTCAGCTGCAATTTTCCCAATAAATTATATCATTTTGAGGGAATGGAGCAATAATATGCGTTCTATAGTAACAAATTCACAAGCACTAGAATACAAGATAAGGGAGAGATCACTTATCGACTCGACTCGGCTCAGCTCGAGAGATTATGCAAATCCCTGGAATATCAAATATAATTAACATTCCCTATTATCTTACACTTTCTATTTCACAAACTTGCATAAGAGCATGTACCATACAAAAAGTTGAATATCCACACAAGCATATCCAGTCACCAGGCTGACAAAAATAGCATAGCATAAAAATGACAAAAAAAAATCAAAATTAAGTGACAAAATTCCCATAGATTGTCTGTTGTTGACCCTAACCGATACAGCAACTCTCGACCAATAAGAACATTCAGATTTGGAGGAACTCTGCTTGAGGGAGGCAAAAGCAGTTTGTGGAAACCATTCCACTTAAATTGTCTCCGTTTCATGTTAACACCACACTCGTTCTAGAGAATTTTGGGATGAAACTTCTTGTCTTTATAATTGTTTATAGAAGAGAACATAAGCCTGGTTGTGCAACACTTTGCTGGTGCTAACTGCAGTCACTGATGCGTCATCAAACCGTAACCATTGGCCATCAGGGTAAATAGCATCAGCTGTATAATGCCCTTTTGAGGCTTCACTGCCATGGTGGGTTATGGTCGATACAAGTTCATATCTTCGGCCCTGCACACCAAACAGAAAATATTCCAAGTAAATTTAGATATGATTTAATCAAAATCTGGTATTCGGTGTTTCCCATCGAAGAAAAATAAATTTCACAAAAGTTACATTTCTTTTAAAACTAGGACAAGATCACCAATTAATATTAGGGATGAACAATGAAACTGCCAAACCGTAAAACCAAACTAAACCAAAACCAAACAACTTTTTTTGAAACTATTTGTATGGGCCCACGTGAATTCGTCAACGTTATGGTTTTGAACTGAACTAAACCGCTTCAGAATGATTTTGTTTAGGCTTCAATCTTTGCAAACCGCTTAAAATTGCCAAATCGTTTACCAAAAAATGGAAATAAATTAATTTAGAATTTATCCAACTGAATTAAAATTGTACACATTCAGATTAAAAAAAAATACATCTATATTAGACATAATTCAAAAATACACCTATGTTAGACATAATTCAATTAAACTCAATACCTAAATAAATAATAATTTATCCTGATTAATTAATTAAATCATACCCACCTATCATCACAATTGTAAATGCAAAACTCTCAAATTGGGTAAAGTGTTGAACAACTGCTGCTGCTGAATCATATGCATCAATCGTCCATCAAATTAAATAAACAATTAAATCTAGATTTTAATTCAAACTCACATATTTATTTTCCTTCTATTAATAAATTTCTCGAATTTCAACTAAATTTTCAGGTGAGTTTATGCAAGTTTTCTTATTTTTGTTAATTGTTTGCTATATTTCATTGGGAGTCATGTTTTTTTTTTTTTTGTTCTAATTTGCATTAGACTCCCTTGAATTGTTAACACACAATATTTTTTTGTTTTTTGCATTCAATTTTCTGGTCAAGTGACTCAATTAATTATTTACATTTCAACTTAATTTCTAGATTTTATTGTTAATTGCTAGAATAATTTGATTGGTTACTTAAATGATCATTTTAAAGATTTGACCGACGAGCTTTTCAACATATTACTTTGGTGAAAATTGAATATAAATAAATATAAGGATGTCCCCGCAAATTGCTAAAAATATGTTAGATATTTAATTTTCACAATTATTTTTAAATCTGTATTTTCTACTAGTGATTGGATGCTTGATTCCTTTATGAGTTCATTGAATGCATATACGGGTGAGACGTTTGATTTTCCCTAAAATTTGGTTGCATAATAACAAAGAATCTATATTGATTCGTCAATATTTGGATAATGTAAAAACATTGGATGATTCACAAAAGTTATAGAAAGTATATCGCATTTGATCTTTCCATTCATATTCTTTTATTATTTGTTTTATATCATTTAACTAATTAATGAATCTATGTATATTTTTATCTTTATGAAGAGAATAAACCATGTGTTACAACTGCAAATCTTACACCAATTAGTATTGACTAAGATGTTAAAATGTTTATATCATGTCATTGCATTATAGTGATTAGAATTATGGAATTTTGGTTTATAATATTTTTAATGATATTTTTAATGTTTTTAACATGAATTTTAGACTAATACTTATGGTTGAAGTCATTTGATATATGTAATTTTTTTCTTTGTTAAACCATAGTTTTAAATCAAACCAAACTGAAAGAAGCAATTTGAAGTTATTCGATTTGGTTTGAAAATATTTCAAACCACTTTAAGTGGTTTGATTTGAAAATTGGTCACAGACCGCCCAAACCGAACCATTTTCATCCCTAGTTAATATTGTTGAACTTTCTAGGATTCCAGAAAATCCAGGAGACCTACATAAAGGAGAAATTAAATAAGAAATTGAAAATGATATGAAGGACCATTACCTCAGTGGTTGGGGAAACAAGCAGATCACGGTTTAGCATTAGTTCAAGAGGAAAGTGCACTGCCTTGTGTAACTTAGTGCTTCCAGAGCTTCCATAACGAAAACGCATCAGATGTAATATCATTATCTTGGGAAGTGATTGTATGTTGATAGATTTTCGGGCCGTCACAACTCCAGCCTGAAACTCAGTATCATCATCCACACTATATCAACCACAACCAAGCTCACCGTGTACAGATTTTCATAAAACACAATTCATACTACAAAACATATTCAAATACTCTTGAACATATGCCATGCTTCAATAAAAATTCTAACCAGATAGATTAAATTTAAGCAAATAGCATTCTCGAAATGCATAAATCAACAACCAAAATTAGGAAAAGGTTAACTTTATAATCAAATCATCAAAGCAAAAAACATGAGTAAAATCTTTCCATCAAACTCAAGCATTAAAATCTAAGACTCAATTGATATGCCATGCTTCAATAAAAATTCTAACCAGATTGATATGCTCTTGTTTCCACTTTAATTTTACTTATGTGCATGTTGAGTGATTGATTCAGGAGGAGAGGAGAGAGTTGTACACTGTCAATTCTCCTCCAGTCCTCTCATTTTTTTTTTTTCCAGGAATGAACTTCAATCAATGGTCGATAAATTAACTAAAGATTGGATAACAAGGAAAGTGATATGTTATATCTTCTCTCATGTTCCCCTCTAGCTTGTCTTCATCTTTTGCCAGAGTGATTAACTAATAATTCCATTTTCAACTTAATCTGGGTGGCTCCTTAACCCAACTGTGATAAAAAAATGAACAAGGCACCAGTTCATACAACATTATTAAACTATGTACTAAGTATGCATCTCAGATATAAGTAATTTATAAAGACAATGCGTGACAGACATGGCATGCTTAACCTGAAAAGCACATCTCACTTTATGGAAAGAACTGGCTTGTCCATAGGATAACTGACCACCCACTTATTAGATTTCAGTCTAGGAAGAATATGAATTGGATACCAACAAACAGATCAAATTTAGATTTCTCAGTTTGATTCAGAAAATATTTCCATTATTTCAATTTGTATATGCTTACAAGAAAAAATCATTTTGAAGTATGTGTGTCCAACCCCAAAATTACAGCCCAAATCATCTCCTTTTTGCTAAATTTTAAACACTTCTTACAACTTATGTAAATAGTACAAGCTAAAACTTGAACCAAACAAATAACTCTAAATCTTAAGTTACCATTGTTTCGCATCTTGGCTTAGTTCATTTCATATTTTTCACACTAACCAAATCAAAGTGAAAAATGAGGAGTTTATTTATTATTATTATTTTTTTTTTAGTGGCCAAACTTGTTAACAAATTGGGCAAATTAAGGTTCATAACACTTTCTGCAAAAGAGGTTTTGCAGCAAGATATCGGAGATATTGGCATATTATAATTGACAGTAAAATAAAATAAGATAACTTACCTTTCCCTTAGTCCGGTACTCATCAAGTGTTTCCGGGGCAGAAAATAAGTGGAGAGCATCTTCAATGGTATGCACAGCTTCAGGGGAAATGTCTAGATGGAGCAAAAGAAATGGCTGAACAGTGGCAGAGGCTTTGTTTCCTGTCCATAACATGGCCATTAATTGCATCGGTTAGCAAAGGAAAATATGGAGAGAGCCAATATTATATTTTTCTCAGCATTCTAGAAACCAGTCACTTGCCAAAACTAGCGTACTATACAAGAGGAACAATCAATCACACTTTGTTAGGGAACTCGAGATGTAAGAACACATCTTATATGATCTAATTGCACGACTTGTGGTCAAATGTTAATGAAATTTTGTTTCAGCTAGTTTTCAGTTGATCCTAGTTTCACTAAGGTGAATCCTGAACTAGGCTGAATAGTGGATAAGTTTTTGAAATACTTTAGTGCTCACTGGTGAAGGGAGTGAAAATATATTTGAGCATTCAATCTGATGTCAAACAACCACCTTGGAAGTTTTTTTATTTTTCCTGATTTCAGATGGAGATGCTTTAGAACTTGAAGAATCAAGACAATGAAGTTCAATTACCATTTGGGATTCTCATGAACAACCACCAAGAGCACTTTTATGCAAACTCATGGTATTCTGTGTGTTTCAGGGTTAAGGTTCTATAAGGCCATCAATTGAACAAGATGCATAAATGTGTTAGGAAATAGAAGAAGCTTCTTAAGGTTTTTATTTTCCGAAAATAATAAAGAGAGAAAACAGGACAATGGAAAATCTTGGCATCAAACCTCATCCTTCTCCCCTAGTGCACAAGAGATAGAAATCCAATACAGTCATCACTAGGGTCATATATTAGTAGCATAAGAATACTTTATCTCCAAAGGACCCCTAAACCTACCAGGATTCTACATTCTATTTGCAAACTTAATAATCACCTACTAAAACTAGTGTTGACGACTTAAAACTAAGAAAGACATTGCTGGCATGTTTAGCTAATCTTATAAGGTGCAGAGAAGCACCTTTTAAGCTTAGACAAACATGGTATAGGTGCCCCACAAGTGGAACCTCCAATTTCTAGAAATACTGGAAGACAGATTTCCTAAAATAAGCAAAATACGTCAGCTTTAAAAAGACTTCAAGCTAATTGGCATTTGGTAAATTATCCAATATGGGCTCAATAAAGAACTTGTAATATGAAAGATATAAGCCTTCCTGGGAGCTGAAAGGAACACCAATATTTTCCTCCATGTATTTTTTATTTAATCTTTTATTGTGCATTTTTCTCTGCCAGTTCCCAACCTCAAGCAAAGAAAATGCAGCTGAAAATGCAAACGCATTTATTCATCTCAGATATCACATCAGCATGGCCCACTCATTTTTGTGCTCATAGATACAAGAACGAGTTTCTTTCCAATTTCCTAAGGTGTTGGGTGTTATTTCAACTTCAAGAGTTCCATCTTCTAGGAAATGGTGTGCCCCTTGTTCAGTCAAATTCCAAAATAACACTTATTATCCTCGCCATAATTTAGAATCTCAAAAGATTTGAGACCAATCATAGGCTCTTTGAATTCTCAAGAACAGCATTTTTCACTTGAATCAGCATTATTTACTTGCCCCATCTCAGCAATAAATAACCATGCATCTTCAAATGGATGGCTTTTCATATCCACAAAACTGCTATTTGTTTCCTTAAACATAATGTTTCGTATCAAGTAAAGAAGACAAAGGCCTACCAAGAAGAATGCATGAATTTAATAACCCTCACATCACAGTATATAGAATGCAATACGGAGTATAAGCCACTAAAACAGTCCACAATTAGAAAGATTTAGAACATCATTGCAGAATATACTTGATGTGCTCAACTGTAGATGTCGGCAAAATACTCATAAAGCATGGGAAGTGTTTATAAACAGTTTAAATTATAAATAGGTAGAAATTATTAGCGGATAAGTGGATAGACTTGTGGGTCCATCAAAATGCATGGATAAAAAGTGGCTCAGGTGTTTACAAACATGAGCCAGCTACTGATCTTCCCTTCAAAGGCTAATTCTATTCTGAAGAAAAGAAAACTACAAGCATCATCCTCAACTCTTAAGTCTGAAAACTTGTCACAAGACTAAATGACATTATCATTTACTTGGACAGCTTCAAACAGGACAACATTAGAGACTTTCATCTTTATTTTGTTTTACCATCAACCTTCAATCACAAGATTAGCAAGAAAATTACAAGGAAAGCTTGCACATGGAACACATATAAGAAAACCTAACACATCTAGCTCGCAGAAGTTGTAGACCTATGCAAGGAAATGCAGCAACAATCATGCAACCTATCTGCTGGCATAAATTGAATCAAGTCTCAAATACACTAATGGAAGAATGAAACAGCATAATTAGCATACCGGCAGTTCAAAATGAATACCTTTCTCACGATTTCAGGTTTTTTCCCTAACTAATGTCTATTTATTTAAAATATAAGCTTCTTTACTTATCCATGAATAACATATAATGCACCATTGGGTGGTTGATTTGAATTTGTGGTACTGTTTTACCCCAATTGTGCAGATAAATGTTCTTAAAACAGGCCTTAAGCATATGATAATGGTGCCCATGGAAAAAAAATTATTGAGGTGCTCATTTATGGAAGTTACTTCACGTATCTAGATAGCCAGTGTATGAGGGGGTGGGGTTATCAAATTCATATGACAAAAGCATCATTTAGGATCGAATGAGTTTTTGTGATAAATGGTGGACCTATAGATTCTGGGACAAATTACATTTTATTCTGTCCCAGAGATAAAAAGGCCTCATATCTAATAGCTGACAAGAGCTGTCTTTGGAAGCAACTAAAGGAAGTGCCAAAATGCATACCAATACATTCGGATACTTCAATTGGTCTGGCAAAAAAAGAGAAGTACTTCCAAGAACCCGGGGGCCGGGGGGGTCCCGAAGATTGTTCGCATCCCTACGATTGTTTCACACCAATCGACTTTGGGGAAGAGAATACTCATATGTTATTTCATATGAAAGGCTTTTGCGTTTCAAGTGGTTACATTATTAGAATTACAAAGGGGAAATTTTCTATTTGCAAACACGCTTTGATAATCTTTCTGACCACTGAAAAGTCCTACATTGTCCTCTACTTCTTCAATTAATAAAAATGGAAGGGAAATAATCGCACCGATGAACACCTTGTCCTCACCACCAAATACAAGAACAAAAACGCTAAAAAACAAGAGCAAATATTAGCACGAGAATATGCCCAAAAGATACATAGTTTTGAGCAAATATTAGCATGAGAATATGCCCAAAAGATACAGAGTTTTGAGAAAATGTTAGTTCCACACACAAGTTTATACTAATATACGTTCCTTAAGATATATTATCCAACTTAACATACAATCATTCTAATGGATATTTAGCATACCATGATCAGCCATGTAAATATAATAATATTGCTGCACTCGAATGCCAAATACCCATGCATGCCAGTGTGTCTAACACCTAACAAAGTATGGAGAAATTGATGCCTTTCAATTACCATATGGCTTTACCTCTTGCCTTGACTACGCTACGCAGTTGTCCCCCAAAAATTGAACTGAGCTCTGAGGGAGCAAAATTTTGCGTTCTTGTAACAGCAGATTTATTCTTCGGGCCAACTGTCTCCCACTCGTCGTCCTCGGGTGTAGAAACAAAAGATGATTTTTTTCCATTCAAATTAGGTTGCCCCTCAAGCTTCAGCAATTCTTCGTGCATTTGATCCATGATGAAACTTAAAAATTCTTGTGCATCTTCTTGTCTGCGAAGAAATTTAAACATAGATGATGCCCATACTCCAATAAATGAGAACTAAACAAATGCAAAGCCGCATAAAACAACAACCATGTCAATTACTTCTTCCTGATACAAGGATACACATATAGCTTCCCCTCTAAAATTCAATGGAAAGACAATGCACGTCAGATAGACACCAACACAATTTTGGAAAAAGAGCACCAACATGCCACATCCCTGAATATCAGTTTTTTTTTTTTTTTTTTAAATTCATTTTTTAGTTTGTTACTTTGAAAAGTAAATTTATTTTTGTCAATTACAACATCGTGCCGTCAATGTATATGTACTCCCAAGGCGTTGGAGGAACTATTCAGACCTCTTTAGCTGTACAAAATAAAAAAATAGTTTGGGCGCGCCACTAGGCATTTCATATATGTTTCAGTCGCGGGCATTGGGAGGGTATTGGTGCATCCTAGCATGATATTTTAGAATCTAAATTCTTAATAAAAGTATCAGCAACTGGCAGAGAACCCCAACAGAAAAGCACAAATAATAAGGATCATCGAACCTTGGCCTTCCTGAAATGGTGCTGACCACATCAGGAGTAAAGTTCTTCAGTACCAGTTCAAACATAGAGGGACAGATCGAACTGCCCATTTTAAGAACAGTAGTAGAATCTTTCCTGTCCATCCTGGAACCCTTAGGCATGTCAAGGAAACTTTTTGATAAAAATATCAGCAAGTGAAAGGCTGAGAACCTCAATGGAAAATCACAACAAATAAGGATCAACAAACCTTGGCCTTCCTGAAATGCTGATGTCACCAATAAACTCGACAAATGCAGTTAATGTTGGATAGCCAACCTTAACAGAAAACAAAATGAATTTTTTAAGACTAGCACTTCCATGGAGTAAAATGTGGACAAAATATACTATTTGCAGGCTGTAATTTGGTACATTGAAAACAAATTAAACATGTGACAAAGATCAAACCTTTGGAATGTTACAAGTTCTTAGTCTCTGCAGAAGTTGAACAAATGGAGAACAGGACAAAAGTGCCTGTAATGTTGCATTAAGGAAGCATAAATTTCCAGAGTTGATTAGGCCTCGAGGTAGTAAATCTATCACACCTAAAACAGGTCCATCCTCCTTAAAATTGGCCTCGGATTGTGCTTCAACTGAGGAATTGTTAGCAGTCCCTTTTAACTTCCAGTGGGCTTCTTCATCATTCAATTTCAAGCTAGGGGATTTTATTGTCCCATTCTCATTGTCAGATACATGTAATCTGGTAAAAGCGATGTCATCGATTACTGCCTCATTTCCATTATTACAAGAATGAACGGATTTCCCAATAGTTCCATTTTCTTTATGATTTTTTGACAAGTTATCTCCAGCCGTTTTTGTTGCCAAAACTTCATTTCCCTTTTGGATATTAGAGGAATGTGAAGCTTCAGAGAGATGTGAGCCTTCAGGCTTATTTGGGAAGCCAAACTGTATGTTATCGATGCCACTAAAATTACCAAAAGTCAACACAGGCACCAGCTTTGGGGAATTGACTCGCGATTCTGTATTTCCCACTGGCTTTTCTGAACCGGTAGAATTTGGATTCAGCAAAGACCTAGTTTCATCTTCTGTGAATGACCCAAACAATAACACCTGCAGATGTGAAGGAAGTGGCATATTTAGCACTTCAAAATAGTAGAACATGTAATCATTGTCATATTTTTGACTAGAAAATGACACAATCACCATTCTTTACAAGGACCTCATTCTTATGGACTTATAGTGACAATACAATGTCAAACTGTCTCTTAGTGACAAACAATGACAAAAGCTTGAAGCAGTTGAATCATGAGCAATTCTGTGACCTTCTCAATGTTAGTGACATCAGCACACAATACACTGTTAGACATTGCCATAATTTGGGTCCGAAACAGAGTAACTTCATCCAACTTCTAAAAATACCCTTTTCTCATTTACTGATGAACTGGCCAACCTAACTCGAACACTAACTTTTTTTTACCCTGAACAGTTTAAACCGAATATGTAAATCTCTAAATACAACAGGGGAAAAAATGCACAAGTTAACAATGTAACTTTTCATCTTCACCGCCAAGAAGAAAGAGTTGAGTATTTTATCTCGGAGTCAACAAATATCATAAGCTCACAAGTCCAAATTATTACTTTTCAACAAAGCGCCACAAAAACAAGCAAACTACAAGCCAAAACAGCTAAATCTGCATAATTTTCACAACACTTGAATAAAAATTAGCAAGAATCCCATAACACACCTCAAAATTTCTTTCTTAACATCCCACTTGTAAAATAAATCAATTATTCAATATAACAAAAAAAAAAAAAAAAACATTAAAAATCAAATCCCAAAAATAAAAAATAAAAAAAATGAAGATAATTTAACAAAAAAATTAAATTAAATTAAACAATTAAACAATTCACTAACCTTGGAGGGGTCACTCATGTTCGAAAGTAAATCCAAGAAATTCTCAAACTAAGGATAAAAATATTTTGGGTGTAAAATAAAGAAGAAAGTGCATAGGAAAAATTAAGGTTTGATGAGGAAACCTAGTCGCAGAGTTGACAGAGCAAACAGAGAGTACTGAAGAAGACATGTGAGAGAAACAAAGCATTTAACAAAAGATTAGCGCTTCTAAGATAGAAGCATCGACCAATTATACAATAATAATGGAATTCTAAATAAATTGGGAATTGAATTTTGTTCTTCGTCTCCTCCTCGGTGTTGTGGTTTTAGGTTTAGCCGTTTAGGTTCTGGTTTTGGTGTTTAGGTTATTCATACGAGATAGGTGATGACTTGATGATTTTTATAAAATTCGTAATAATTTAATTTTTTTAGGGAGACATGCGGCGTGTTTGGTTTGAATTAAAATTTAATCAAGTCAAAATCAAACAATCAATATTAATTAAAGCTTTTATAGGTTTCACAACTTTTTAATCACACATTTCAAAAACTTATATCTAAAATATAATTTTAATCTCCACCAACCACCATCATGATAAATTCAGCAAAATGAATAAAACAGGAAACTGTTGTCTAATTATATGATAATTGTTAACGATTATTACCCTTATCAGAATACTTGTACAAGTCGTTTCTATTCGAGAAGAGTGTTTTATTCTCATTTTGCACCCTATAAATACGAGTTCATTGTTATAAGGATATTATGAGCTTGAATATTGATTATCCATTCTTCTCTTATATTGTTCCTGTTCTTTAGTTTTATAACATGTTTTCAACTCAAATGAGCTCATCAAATTAGAGAGAATTCTAAATCGTTTCGTGGTCTAATCTTCATAAAATTTAGACAAGATGTTCACAATGTTGACATATAGTTAATTATAACCTTAAAGTTTTGATTATAACAAACAAGTTAGTCTTATTTACTAACAAATTGAATCTAAGGAGGTCAAGATCTAAATCACAAACTCAAGAACTTAAGAGCCAAACTTCAAAGCATCAATGACTTGATTTTTTTAGATAAAGTGAAAAGGTAGTAGCACTTTAATATTTAGCAATGAATGCTTAAACTCAAAGCCTTAAACTCAAAATCCATCTATGCATTAAAAAAACAATTTTTGTATATTAAAAGTCATTCTAATGCACCATTTTAATCAAATATAAAAATAACTTTTAAAATGATATTTGAACTTGAAAAAAAAAATCTCTTACCTTAAAAAGTTAGTTAAAAATAATTTTCAGAAGCCAATGCCTTTCAAAACCTTCCAATCGGATCAAACGAGACAAAAACATAAAAAGACCGAAATTCCCGGTGGTAAATCGACCGGACGAGGCGGTCAACCGGTGAGAAGAGGTGATCAACAGCAAGTTTTTTAACGGTCCAAAATTTGATCGTTATGATATCTAATTTTTATTGAACGCACGGCTATATTGGTCAGTCGAACAAAAGGTTGTTGATCGGACAGGTCATTCGAACCTATAATATTTTTGGCATTTTGAACTATATAAATACCCCCACTTCTTGGATTTATTATAGAGGGTGTTTGACATTCATTTTTAAGGAAAAATGAATTTTAGAATAGTATATTAATGGAGAATGTGTAGATGAAAATTTTTTTATTTACGTGTAATATTATTTTAATGAAAAATGTGTGATTAAGAAGAAGAGTGAGAGAAAAATACATTTTGAGAAAAATGAGAATAGACAGGGCCATAACATTCTTTAAGATTGTTAAAATGAGAAATATTTGAGCAAAACTCGTTAAGCTTACATCTTATTTAATTATTCAAATATTTACTTTGAAAACTTTTAATTGATTAAATCAACTTTTAAAAATCATCATTTTCATCAAAGTTTCTCATATAATACGTGAGCCTCATTCGTTGCTATTTATTTAAGTGTTAGCCCATTTCTCTCTTATACTTAATTTGTATATGTTATGTATTAAGAGAGAAGTTTTCAAATTGTAAAATCATTTTTCTTTAAATTTGTGAGTCATATTGAGGCCCTAAAGCTTAATATTGTATAAGAATCGGTATTGCATGTTTTTAAGTCACAAAAAGCGTTGTAAAGGATTGGATTGCATCATAAGTTAAACAATATAATAAAAAATGCATTGCTCGTGCCGAAAAGCTTGGTAACGGAGGACGTAGATCATTACTTTAGATCGAACCTCCATAATTATATCGTTTGCATTCTCTCTATCCTTCTAATTATGGTTTTTTCATTTATATTTATTATTTGATTGATCTAGTTTTTTTTTTGTTGCTTATGAGTATTAATGAAACGTGTTCCTAATGTGATTGATTTAAGGCTATTTTTTGAAAAAGCCTAAAAAGACTAATTTACCTCCCTCTTGATTAGTTATTCTAGGGCTATCAATTGGTATCAAAGCAATACACTCATTTTAAAGATTTAACAATCTTGAATAATGGCTAACCACAATCTTCAAAATATTGATAGGCATTCTTTAAATTGTCCTCCTTTCTTTGATGTCGCACATTATAATTATTAGAAAGCTTTGATGTGATTTACATTCAATCAATAGCTTATATAATTTGGGAAGCTATTTAATATGGTCCTTATGTGCCTACAAAGATCATTAAAGGGATGGCAAAACCAATCAAACCATTCCAAACCTAGAGGAGTATGACGAAGATGACAAAAGAAAATCTTATTTAAATGCTAGAGCCAAAAATCTGCTTTATTGTGTCTTAGATAGAAATGAGTTTAATCGTATCAACACGTGCAATTCCTCATATGATATTTGGCATACATTAGAAATTACTCATGTTGGCACTAATAAAGTAAAGGAAACCAAAATTAATCTTTTGGTTAAAGAATTTGAAAACTTTTTCATGAAACAAGATTAACTTATTGTTGACATGATTAGTCGTTTCACCGATATATTTAATAGCCTCAAAGGTTTTGATTGTAAATTTACTAATAGTGAGCTTATTAGTAAGATGCTCAGGTCACTATTGAAAAATTGGAGCTCATTAATGATATTGATAGTGAATACCAAATATATCAATTCATATCCATTTGAAAAAAATTTATGGAAATCTTATGACTTATGAGCTCGACAATGCCGAAACTAAGGAGAAAACTAGGAAAAGCAAAGAGGAATCAAAAGAACCTCCTAAGCGCCAAAATGCTTTAAAATCGATAATTAAAGAAGGAAGTGAAAATATGAGTAATGAAGAGCTCGACGATCTAGTTTTTTTTTGCAAAAAATAAAAATAAAAAATGAAGAGGCGTTAGTAATAATTAGAGATTCCTAAAGAAAGAAGAAAATGGTGAAGAAAGAAACAAGAAAATTATTTGCCATAATTGTAACAAACCCGGTCATAAGAGAACCGAGTGCCAAACAAGAAGAGAAGTATCAAGAAAAAGGCACTCCAAGCAACCTGGGATAAAAGCGAGGATGATGATCATGATGAAGATGATAGTCAAGAAGAAGTCACCAATACGTGCTTCATAGCAATCGAAGATGGGGTAAATTTTATTGAAAAAAGTTCATATGATGATTTATCTACACCTATGACGAAATTCTTTAGGAATTTGAAAAGTTTGCCTTAAATCACTTCATTCTTAAAAAGAAACACTACTTGTTGAAAAATGAAATAAAGAAAATTTTAGAAATTCAAAATGATCTCAAAAAAGAAAATATTGATTATGATTCTTTGATTAAAGAAAATTCTTTTTTTTTTTAAAAAAGTTAAAGATCTAACAAAGATTATTTAGAAATTCACTCAATGTAAGAAAATTTTTGATTTAATACTTGGTGATCAAAAGTGTGTTCGTGACAAATGAAGAGTTGGATATAAACCATTCTTGAAACAAAAATCTTTCAAAAATGTATTTGTCTACTAAAAAAGAGACTACACTTTGAAAGTAACAACAAGTGGATTCAAGAGTCCATTAAAACTAACTATCAAGGACCCAAACTTGTATCGATACCAAAGCTAAAAAAATAAATTATTTTTATAGGTATCAAAGAAGATAAAAAGAAAATGGTTCTTAGATAATAGATACTCAAAGCATATGACCAAAGATAGAATGCTACAATCAAATTTTAAAAAGAATGATAGAGGCCATGTCACATTTGAAGATAATGCAAAAGGAAAAATAATTGGAATTGTGAACATTGGTAATCATTTTTTTTCCCTTCGATTGAAAATATTATTAGTAGATAACCTCGAACATAATTTGCTTAGTATTAGTCAATTATGTGATAAAAGATGTCATATGAAATTCGATTATACTAAATCCTTGATTAAGAATGCTACATCAAAATATATGATGTTTATAGGTAGCCAAAGTAAAGATGTTTATATCATTAATATCGAATATGAAAGTGGTGAAATTATTTTATCAAGTTTAAAAAATGATATTTGGTTATGGCATAGAAGATTATGTCATGTTAGCATGGATCTTCTCTAAAAAAAAAATTCAAAAATTATTTTGTCAATGGCTTGTCAAATTTAAAATTTAAGAAAGATAAAATTTGTGATATTTGTCAATTTGGGAAAAGGTGAAAAGCTCTTTTAAACCTAAACTATACCCTTCAACTACAAAACTACAACAACTTCTCCACATGGACCTTTTTGGACCATCTATAACTACTAGCTTTGGTTGTCTACATTATGCATTCGTTATTGTCGACGATTTTTCTAGATTTACTTGGATCCTTTTTTTAAATCTGAAAGAAGAAGCTTTGAATATATTTAAACATTTTTGTAAAAAAAATTCAAAATGAAAAAGGATACTCCATTACAATTATTAGAAGTGATCAAGGTGGATAATTTAATAATATCGCTTTTGATAATTTTTGAAATGAAAATGGATAGGAAAATAATTTCTCGGCTCCTAAAATTCCTCAATAAAATGGTATAGTAGAAAGGAACAATCGAACATTGCAATAAATGGCAAGGACTATGCTTAATAAAAATAGCTTGCCAAAATACTTTTAGGCCAAAGTCGTTAACACTGTTTGCTACATTGTTAATAGAGTTTTAGTTAGTTGAAATAAATCTAAAACTCCCTATAAGCTTTGGAAAAATAGAATTCCACATATCATTATTTCATAGTATTTGTTGCAAATGCTTTATTTTGAACATAAAAGAAAATTTGTAAAAATTTGATTCAAAATCTGATATTGGAATCTTTCTATGATATTTATCAACTAGCATATAGTCTTTAACAAAAAAACTCTAGGCGTTGAAGAATCTAAACATGTTACTTTTGATAAAACTAATACTCGTTATTGTGAAAAAGGTATTGTTATTGACGTAGAATTGGAAATTCGTTTCGAACAAATGAG